TTTTTGGTGACTGAAATTTAAGTGATAGACTTTTAATCTATTTATGAGCTAGGCTCCCTTGCGATGATTGTTTTCGACTAATCATAAAGATATTGGAACATTATATATAATTTTTGGAATGTGATGTGGTTTAGTGGGAACAGGTTTAAGTCTTTTAATTCGATTTGAGCTTGGTACTGCTGGAGCTTTCCTAGGGGATGATCACTTCTATAATGTTATTGTAACTGCTCACGCTTTTGAAATGATTTTTTTTATAGTTATGCCTATTATAATTGGTGGATTCGGGAATTGAATGGTACCTTTATTAATTGGTGCTCCTGATATAAGATTTCCTCGTATAAATAATATAAGTTTCTGACTTCTTCCCCCTTCCTTTTTACTTCTTTTAGTCTCTAGACTAATAGAAGGTGGAGCTGGAACAGGATGAACAGTTTACCCTCCTCTATCAGGTCCTATTGCACATGGAGGAACTTCTGTTGATTTAGCTATTTTTTCTTTACATTTAGCAGGGATGTCTTCAATTTTAGGTGCTATTAATTTTATTACTACTATTTTTAATATACGATCGCCAGGAATTACTTTTGAGCGATTAAGCTTATTTGTTTGATCTGTTCTAGTAACAGCTTTCTTACTTCTTCTTTCTTTACCAGTATTAGCTGGTGCTATTACGATGCTTTTAACGGATCGTAATTTTAATACGAGCTTCTTCGACCCTGCGGGAGGAGGAGATCCTATTTTATATCAACACTTGTTCTGATTTTTTGGTCATCCAGAGGTATATATTTTAATTTTACCCGGATTTGGAATAATTTCTCATATTTTGAGTAATTTCTCTTCCAAGCCTGCTTTTGGAACTTTAGGTATGATTTACGCTATAATTTCTATTGGAATTTTAGGATTTATTGTGTGAGCTCATCACATATTCACTGTAGGAATGGATGTTGATACCCGAGCTTATTTTACAGCTGCTACAATGGTAATTGCTGTTCCTACCGGAATTAAAGTATTTAGTTGAATAATAACTTTATATGGAAGTCGGGGACCTTTTAGGGCTGCTATGTATTGAGTTTTAGGATTTATTTTCCTTTTTACCTTAGGAGGGTTAACTGGAATTGTTCTTTCTAATTCTTCTTTAGATATTGTCTTGCACGATACCTACTATGTGGTAGCTCACTTCCATTATGTGTTATCGATAGGGGCTGTGTTTGCTATTTTTGGTGGATTTGTATACTGATTTCCTGTAATAACTGGATTAGTTCTCCATGAGCGATGAGCTAAAGTTCATTTCTTAATCATGTTCTTTGCTGTAAATTTAACATTCTTTCCTCAGCATTTTCTAGGATTAGCTGGAATGCCTCGGCGTTACTCTGACTACCCTGATGCCTACTATAAGTGAAATCAAGTATCATCATTTGGTTCTTTATTCTCTATTTTTGCTGTAATTATGTTTGTATTCTTATTGTGAGAAGCATTTGTAGTTCAGCGTGGGGCATTATTTCAAGCTCCAGCTCTATCCTGAGAATGGGAAGATGTACTTCCTTTAGATTTCCACAGTAATACTGAAACTTCTGTTAGTCCTTTATGAGGGTGAAGTATTTGATAGTATATCTCAGTTACATTGAGAAGGACCACAATATTTGGCACTCTTTTATTAAGTTTTATTTTAAATTTAAGAAAATTTATACTCCGAAAGGGTTCAAAAGGAATTAAAGAATTAGTAAATCGTACTTTTTGCATAACGGCTATTCCAAAAGTAAGTAAGTTTTTACTTTCCCGAAATAAGAAGATCTAAGCTAGAACTTTTATTAGAAATTAAGAAGTTATGTTTCATTATGACACTAAGATTCAAGCTTAGGGGCGAAAAACCTACAATTCTTATGATATCTGGATGTTTACGAAAAGTATTTAGTACTGAAGACAAACAGTGAGTGCTTAGATTTACTGTTAAGAGTATATTAAGTTTATATAATTTCTTTAGGGTTAACACTCGAATTTAACTAACAAAATAAAAAGATTCATTTTGACGTAAATCTCTGTTATTAGTAGACTTGTATGTGAACTAAAACTTGTATATTTATGATTAGATGAGTAATGCTGAAAAAATACAGAAAAGGAATTCGGCAAATCTTTATCTCAACTGTTTATCAAAAACATAGCCTAGGGAAAATTATCCTAGGTGAAACCTGCCCGGTGACTAGATTTTAACGGCCGCGGTACTTTGACCGTGCTAAGGTAGCGTAATCAGTTGACTTTTAAATGAAGTCTTGTATGAATGGATTTATGGGATTAAGCTGTCTCTTTTGTATTCTATTGAAATTACTAATTAGGTGAAAAGGCCTATATATGAAAAAAGACGAGAAGACCCTTAGAGTTTTAATAATAGGTTTTTGTTGGGGCGACAAGAAGACATATATAACTCTTCTATTAGAAAAACACTTGCCGGTTCTTTTAAGTATGGATAAACTACCTTAGGGATAACAGCATAATCCAATTTGGGTTTGTGACCTCGATGTTGGACTAGGAAAATTATGCCCTAGCAGGGTGTATATTTAGGTTCTGTTCGAACTTCTTTTCCTACATGATCTGAGTTCAGACCGGCGTAAGCCAGGTCAGATTCTATCTTTTAATATTTGCGGTTTTAGTACGAAAGGACCAAACTAAGCAGTTATTTTAACTTTGRCTTGGCAGAATTAATGCACCTGACTTAGRATCAGYYCATAATACGTAAGTATTAGTCAATTTTAATATTTAGTGGAACTGTACTTTATRTAGAAGATTTGGTTTGCAATTAAACAGAGGAATATCATTCCCAGTRCCAATATCAAAAACAGTCCCGAGACGCTAACTTTGGGAGTTAGAGAGTGGCGTAAACCATTTTTGAATTTGAAGATTTTACTATTAACTACTTTCATTTTACTAACTACTTTTCCATTATATAAAAATCCAATTAGATTAGGAGGAGTGTTAGTCCTTATTAGGTTTTGTCTTGTAAGTCTTGCCTCTCTTTTCTCTAGTTGATGGTACTCTTATGTTCTATTTTTAGTATACATTGGAGGTTTGCTAGTGATATTTATTTATGTTTGTTTAGTTAGAAGAAATTATCCTTTTTATATAAATTCTAACCAGGTTACTTTATCCTTGGTTATTTCTTTAGGAGGTTCTTACATTATATCTTTAAAGCCTGTAACTATAAGTTTTCTTGGAAGAGGATTATGAGATTCTGGAAGCAATTTGGTTTCTGATACTTCTTTATCGCTATTTGTAGGTTTAGTGGTTCTTCTTCTTTTGATGCTTTTAGTTGTAGTTCGAAGCTCCGGTGCTGGGGCTGTAATCGTTAGCGGTGAGTAATCTAAAGGGACTACAATTTCCTGTGTTATTATTTTTTACCTCTTTAATGATGGCCTGTGGTTGGGGTTTTATGTTGATAGGAGGTCAAACTATAATTCTTGAGTTGGAGCTTATATCTGTTTCTAGAACCAATTTTAGTATTATATTGATCGTTGATAAGATTAATTTAAGGTTTAGAATAGTGGTAACTTTAATTGCTGGTAGTGTTTTTACATTTGCTCATAAATACATAGAAGAAGATCACAATAGTGATCGTTTCTTATGAATTTTAATGGCATTTGTAATTAGAATAAATTTATTAACTTTTTCTGGGTCTATTTTTTTTCTTTTATTAGGTTGAGATGGGCTTGGAATTACTTCTTTTGCCTTAATTATTTATTACCAAAGTTTCGAGAGTTTAAGGGCTGGATTCCAAACTTTAATAGTTAATCGTTTAGGGGATGCTCTTATTAGTTGTGTCTACTCTTCCTCTTTCGTTTTAGTAGGTCAATTTTCTTTTATTTCTCTGAGGGATAATTTCATTTCAGTGGGGTTGGTGTTGATACTTTCTGTGGCTGCTTTAACTAAGAGTGCCCAGTACCCTTTCAGTTCCTGGCTTCCAGCTGCTATGGCGGCTCCCACACCCGTTAGTGCTTTAGTGCATTCTTCTACTCTAGTAACTGCTGGGATTTATTTAATTATTCGTTTAAGATATAATGTCCCTTTAAGTGAAGAGGTGAAAAGAATGTTGCTTTTTACTGGAGCTATTACTTGTTTGTTAGGTGGTTGAGCTGCCACTTATGAGAACGATATTAAAAAAATTATTGCTCTATCTACCTTAAGCCAGTTAGGTGTTATAGTATTCAGGTTGGGACTCGGCTTTCCTGGGTTAGCTCTATTTCATTTATATACTCATGCGTTATTTAAAGCTCTTTTATTTTTAGCTGCAGGTAACATGTTAATGGCTACTTATGGTTCTCAAGATATCCGTCTTATAGGGGGAATTGGTATGGCTATACCTTTTACTATTATCATATTTAATGTTAGAAGTTTATGTTTAGTAGGGGCTCCCTTCTTAAGGGCCTTTTATTCAAAACACGTGATTCTAGGGAAAATAGTAATAAGTAGTTTAAATCTTTCTTCTATAGTGATTATGTTTGTGGCCACCATAATAACTGCCAAATATGTTTCTCGAAGCCTAAAAGCTATTTCGTGGAATAAGCCTACTAGTTCAATTATGGCTGTATCTTCTAATTTTTATACTTCTTTTCCTGTTACTATTTTAGGAATTGGAGGGATTGTTAGAGGGAAATTTTTAAGAATAATCGATTTAGGAAATTTAGAGTTGGCTTATATCCCTAGTCTTTGAGGTAATATTATTAATATTATCACTTTAGGAGGGATCACTTTAGGTTTAATTCGAGGTGCCCAAGTATTATCTAATCACTATTTATCTAGTATATTTTTCTTACCTCCGTCGTTAGTTAGGTCTAAGGCTAGCGCCTTTAGTAGAAAAGAAATATCTAGATTAGACTATGGATGGTTAGAGCCTTCTTTTAGAGCAAAAAACTATCATAGTAAATTCGGGTCTGTTCTAAGGGATATTGGAGTATGACCTCAAAAACAATCTTTCTTTATGGCAGGCTTAATTCTAGCTTTTACATTAGTCTTTGTTACTTCATCTTATTTCTAGGTTAGGAACTTGTTTATGTGTTTTGTTAGGTGTAGCTTTTTATACAGTACTTGAACGTAAGGTTTTAGGTTATGTTCAGATTCGTAAAGGTCCTAATAAAGTAGGGATTTGAGGAATTATTCAGCCTTTAGCTGATGGGGTAAAAATATTTGTTAAAGAGGCAGTTATACCATTTAGTAGAAATCGTTTTTTATTTTGGTTAGCTCCCGGATTGACTTTAACATTAGCTTTAGTTTTATGGCATTTGTACCCTAGTTCTTTCTGTTTTAAAAATGTTACATGAGGATTATTATTATTTTTTTGTGTAACTGCTTTAAATGTATACGGGACTTTAATGGCAGGATGGTCATCTAATTCTAAGTATGCATTTTTAGGAGCTCTTCGAGCAGCTGCTCAGACTATTTCTTATGAAGTTAGTCTTTTGTTAATTCTTCTTTTTTCAGCTTTAGTTCTGGTTTCTTTTTCTTGAGACAAAGCTGCTTTAAGTAGGTTTCCTGTTTGTTTTTTATTAGTTCCTATAATAGTTGTATGGTTTACTAGTACAGTTGCTGAGACTAATCGTGCTCCTTTTGATTTTGCCGAAGGTGAATCCGAGCTAGTTTCTGGGTTCAATGTTGAGTTTGGAGGAGGACTTTTTGCTTTACTTTTCTTAGGAGAATCTTGTAATATTCTCTTTATATCTATGGCAACTGTAGTTTGATTTTTCAGTACTAGGTTTTTGACGCCTATTAGTCTTGCTTTCGGAACTTTGGTTGTGGCTATACTATTCTTGTTTATTCGAGGGGCTTATCCACGATTTCGATATGATTTATTAATTGAAAATCTTTCTTGCCTTTTTCTCTTTGTGCTTTATCAATGATTTTAATTTCTATGAATCTATAAACATTTTGGTGGCTGATTAAGGCGATAGATTGTAAATCTTTTCATGGTGATTTCACCCCTTAGGATTATAGGTTAATATATAAGAAACCATTGGCCTTCAAAGCCGAAATTGAGATTTCTGATCCTGTAAATGCTATTATTTAAAGTTTCTTTGATTGGAGTTCTTTTTGCTTCAATTAGATTTTGTTCTTATCAAACACATACCTTAAATTTACTTATTAGGTTAGAAGCTGTGATACTTTGTTTGTTATTATTTTCTTTTTCAATCTCTACTATATTTGGCATAAGATCTCATCTGTTTCTTGTTCTTTTAACTTTTGCTGCTTGTGAAGCGGCGTTAGGCTTGTCTTTACTAGTAAGTATGTTACGGCTTCGGGGGAATGATCTTGTTACAGCACTTAGGTCATTAAGTTTCTGTGCACAAAATACGACAGATAAATCCTCGCTGAGAGTTTATTAAGTCTTCCTAGTCCACTAAGCATTTCAATTTGATGGAATGGAGGCTCTATTTTAGGTGTTTTGTTAGGATTTCAGATTTTAACTGGATTATTTCTTTCAATACATTACACTGCTGACATAGTTAACACTTTTTCTTCTGTAATTCATATTATGCGAGATGCTCCTATAGGGTGGCTATTTCGAAATCTCCATGCTAATGGGGCATCTTTATTTTTTGTATTTATATATCTTCATGTGGGTCGAGGTCTTTACTATCAAAGATACATTTCTCAACCTCGAACTTGAATAATTGGAGTAACAATTCTATTTGTTAGAATGGGAACTGCTTTTTTAGGATATGTGTTGCCTTGAGGTCAAATATCTTTTTGAGGAGCAACAGTAATTACTAATCTTCTATCTGCAATCCCATATCTTGGTCCTTCTGTAGTAGAGTGAGTTTGAGGAGGTTTTTGTGTTGGGCAATCTACTTTGAATCGGTTTTTTTCCTTGCATTTTATTTTACCTTTTTTAATTGGTGGGTTATCCGGGTTACATTTAATTTTTTTACACGAAAAAGGTTCTACTAATCCTTTAGGAGACCTTAATCATGTTAGGAAAATTCCTTTTCATCCTTATTTTACTTGAAAAGATATAGTAGGATTTCTAGTTTTATTTACTATACTTGCTATCTTAGGATTCTTTTATCCAACAATTTTAGGTGATCCTGATAATTTTATTCATGCTAACCCTATAGTTACGCCTGTTCATATTCAGCCAGAATGATATTTCTTATTTGCTTATGCTATTCTACGTTCTATTCCCAGCAAATTAGGAGGAGTGATTGCTTTAGTGATATCTATTGCTATTCTTTATTTCCTTCCTATTGCTGGAGCTAAAGGAGCGGTACCTTCATCTTTTACTCCTCCTTACCAGGTAACTTTTTGAGTGTTGGTAGTATTTTTTATTATTTTAACTTGACTAGGAGCTTGTCCAATTGAGGAGCCTTATTTGAGTCTTGCTGGCCCTTTAACTGTCCTATACTTCCTATCTTTCTTGGTGTTAGTTAGTCTTCCTGTTTTATGGAAAAAATTAGTTCTATTTTAACCTAGTTTAATTAAAATAAAGGCTTGTCAAGCCTTAGATGCGCTGGAATTGTGCGGTTGAAATGACAAATAGCTTAAATTTAAAGCATAGCACTGAAGTTGCTAGTATAGGCTCCGCCCTTTTGTTAAGTGAGAACGTGAGGACAATTAAATTTAATTGATGCAGCTAGCCCTCTTCAAAGTGAAATATTCTTATTTCATGACCATGCAATTGTATTATTATTAGGAATTTTTTCCTTAGTGGCTATTTTAGGAGTTAAACTTACATTTAATAAGTTTACTTCTCATACTATGTTAGAAGCTCAAAGACTAGAAACTATTTGAACAATTATTCCTGCTTTACTTCTTTTATGATTAGCCCTTCCTTCATTACGATTACTTTACTTATTAGATGAGCAATCTAATTCCGGGATCGTGTTAAAAAGGACAGGTCATCAGTGATATTGAAGATATGAAATTCCATTTACTCAATCACTATCATTTGATTCTTATATAGTTCCAGAAAGGGATTTAAATCATGGAGATTTTCGATTATTGGAAGTAGATAATCGAGCTACTGTGCCGTTTCAAATAGAAACGTCTGTTATTACAACTTCTGCGGATGTTCTACATGCTTGAACTTTACCTTCTATGGGGGTAAAAATAGATGCTGTTCCTGGACGGTTAAATTCAATAAGAATGTTTGTTGAGAAGCCAGGGGTTTATTACGGACAGTGTTCAGAAATTTGTGGAGCTAATCACTCTTTTATGCCTATTGTGGTAGAAGCAGTAAGATTAAAAGACTTTGTTAACTATCTTGAAGGAGCTGAGTAAAATCTAAATTAGTATAATCAGTACATTTACCTTCCAAGTAAAAAGACTATAAATTAGATTTAGAATGTCATGAGTTAGGTTAAACTTTAAACCGAGGACCTGTGGAGTCCTAGATCGTGAAAAATGACTTGTGTAAAAAAAAAGGGGTATCTTCTGGAAATAATCCTCTAGGAAGCTCAAATCTTCCTGTGCCTAACACCGAAAAGATGACAAGGGACTAAAAAGTCATAATGGGCGCTTAAAGCCCAGGCATTAATTCTGCCACCTTGCAGTATTAAAAAAATCGAACTTTTTGATTAGGTGATTTTTGTCCTTCTTTCCTTGAAAGTAATGGTATACTAGTTTTTATACTGATCACTAAAACTAACAAAAAGGCCAAGATTACAGCAAAAAACATAATTCCTATTATAGGGCTTAATTGTGGCATATGTTAAGGAGGCAACAGAGTGCATCTTTTAATTAACAGTTAAACGCCTTTAAATTTGGGCTACACCTTAAAATAAGTAGTAGTTTAGTATAAAACCTTAAGTTGCAAACTTGAAAAAGAGCTTAGCTCCTACTTTTAAAGATCTGGATGTTCCTCAGCATATAATTTTACTAGTAAAGTAAAAATATAAGCCTGAATTAAACAAACAAACACTTCGAATAAAGTATAACCTACATTTAAAACAAACATAGATACTAAAGCTGTTGTTGAAGCTCTTACTAAACAATTCGCGATTAAAGATATTACAATATGTCCTGCTCTAATATTAGCAATTAATCGTACTGTTAATGTTAAAGGACGAATTATAATACTAATAGTTTCCACTAGAACAAGGAAAGGTACTAAAGCAGCAGGAGCTCCTGCTGGTGCTAAATGTGCAGCCGAAGCTACAGGACTTATAGTTCATCCTCTTAAAATTAATAGTCCTCATATTACCACAGCCAATGATGATGTAATTCACAAGTTTCTAGTTACTCCATAAACAAATGGAACTAACCCGATTAAGTTTATTATTACTAAAAAGAACATTAAAGAAAATAAAAATAAAGGTAATGGGAGAAGAGCTTTTGCTCGTGTTTCTCTATTAGTGGCAATTAAAAGTATTAAAATTCCTGAAGGTTGAGCTTTTCAGCTAGATGAAACAAAAAACATAGAAGCTACTATAATTGGTGTTAGTCATAATAGAAAAGAAATACTTCCTAATTGACCGCAGTCCAACGAAGAGAATAGGTCACTTATCATACATTTCAGGGACAAAGTTAGTCCTAGACTAAGGCCGAAACTTAGGGCGAATGCAACGCTTCTGAAAAAACAATCTAAGGGCTAATCGCCTCCTTTATCTCGAAAAGATAATGTGATTATATTCACCACGAAGACAGGAGCACTTTCCAGTACTCCTACTGTGTTACGACTTGTCTCATTTTTCAACGAGAATGACGGGCGATTTGTGCACGAAAATCTTTGTGTTTCAAAACATATTTCTTTAGTAATTACTGTTAAGTCCATCTTCCTTTCATTCTTACATTTTCATTCCGAAGTAAATTACTATTGTAACTCACCTTACAGTCCTTTATATAGGCTGCACCATGACCTGTCTTATTTATTACATAATTCTGGGCCCTCCTCAAGAGGGCCCAAGACGGCGGTATACAAACTTTAAATAAAGGTGATTTTTTTTGAGGGTTGTCAATTACCTGGTAAGTTCCCCTAAATTTTATTTCCGCCGCCATGTTCTTTAAGTTTTAGCTTTTTAGTTTAATCACTTTTAAGCCTTAGTGCTTAGATATTAAAGTTTTCACTCCTTATAGTAGGGTATCTAATCCTAGTTTAATACCGGAGTTTCAGGAATAAACCTTAAAGAGGTGGAATAAATAATTACTATTTCACTAGTTAATTAATTTTTCTTAAGGCATACCTCTATCTAAAAATCTCAGCTGTTTTATAGGTATGACCGCGACTGCTGGCACCTAATTAGTCAGAACATAAAAACTAGAATTAAATTACTATTTCTAGTATTGTTTAATATCTCTTGCTGGGTTAATCGTAGTTCGAAAACCTACCATGCGCAGTTTCATTTTACTGAGAGTGTATCAGAACAAAGTTCAACGGGGGAATACTCCATTGTTGAGTTATGAGCCCAATAGCTTATGCTTAGCTGACCCGTTGAAGAACTTACTCAGTCTAAAGCTCCTTCATTCCATTCATGAAATATTCCAAATAAAAGAATCACTAAGAATAGAAGCAGCGCGACTATTAACATAAAACTAACAGAATTAAGTATTATAAGTCTTAAAATAGGAAATAACAAAGCTACTTCAACATCAAAAATTAAAAATAGAACTACTAATAGAAAAAAACGGGTGGAAAAAGGAGCTCGCATTTTTCTTAAAGGATCAAATCCGCACTCGAACGAGGTTATTTTTTCTCTGGGGCTAGTGTACTCAATATATCTGACCAAATAATAGATAATTAGTAAAGCAGAACAAAGAATAGAAGAGAAAAGGATTATTATAGATAGCAATCTGTGGATCACAGGTGGAGAATTTTTCTCCCATCAAGGCTTTCAAAACCTTATAGTACAAAAATTATTAGAGATAATAAGCCGAAGCTGCTAACTTTGACTTGGGACATAACTGTTCCGTCTCTATTTGTTGACATTGATTTCTCTTATTTTTGGTTCACTCTTCTTATACTTTTCCTGGGGAACTGTGGGGTTTTGTTTTATTTTATCTAGATTAGTTAGAATAAGATTACTTCAGCAGAATTTTTCTAGTAGAATAAACATATATTTTTCTTTAAATTATTTTTCGGTTTTAATAATTTTTCTGTCTTGTATTTTATGTCTCTTAGCATTAGTATCTACGCCTTATGAAAAAGTTGCCTCCTCTTATTCTATCTGTTTATTAGTTTTGTGTGGTGTTTTATCTTTAGCCTTTTCTATATCTAACATTATTTTGTTTTATATTTTTTTTGAGGCTTCTTTAATCCCTACTCTGATGCTAATTATTGGATGAGGTTATCAGCCTGAACGGCTCCAAGCTGGAAGTTATATGATATTGTATACTGTAGGTGCTTCTTTACCGTTGCTGGTCGTATTAATTTGATGGTGTGTAGAAAATGGTAGAATGAGAATCCTAATATTAAAAAATATAGGATTCTCTTTTCCTATTTTCTTAACTGTAGTAATTTACGGAGCTTTTCTGGTAAAACTTCCTATGTATTCCTTCCATCTTTGACTTCCAAAAGCTCATGTGGAGGCTCCATTAGCTGGTTCAATAATTTTGGCAGGAATTCTTCTGAAGCTAGGAGGATATGGTATTTTTGTAATAAATAATAGATTTTGTATGAGTCCAAACAGGGTGAGTTTAGTTATTATTAGACTTAGCATGTGAGGTGGTTTCTTGGCTACGATAATGTGTCTTCGACAGGTAGATGTAAAAGCTTTGGTAGCTTATTCTTCTGTTGGTCATATAAGTATTGTTTCATCGGGTTTAATTTTAGATCAGACCTGAGGTGTTACAAGTGCACTTATTACTATGTTAGCTCATGGAGCTTCTTCATCTGCTCTTTTTTGTCTTGCTTATTTCTCTTATACTAAAAGACATACCCGTAACATTCCTTATATGAAAGGAATACTTCAAATATATCCCATTTTAAGTTTTGCGTGATTTGTGTTTTGTTGTATTAATATAGCGGCTCCTCCTACGCTAAATTTAGTAGGAGAGCTTCTAGTTTCCTCCGTTCTTTGAAATTATAGTTATTTATTAGCAGTGGTTATAGGTCTAATGGTATTTTTTAGAGCTAGTTATAATATATATTTATATAGAAGTATTAACCATGGATTTCACTCAAATTATTTGACTGGTGGAACAGAACTTAAAAGTTTCGAGAAGCTTTCTCTATTTTTACATTTGATGCCATTATTATTACTATTTAAAGGAACATTATTTATCTTATAGGTCCTATATCCAGGAGGGGAAGAAACCCTTCTTTGAATTACAAAATCAAAGCTTTACATAAGCTATCCGGGAAAGATCCTCATCAGTAAATTCTTACATAAAGAAATAATCAAACGACATCTACAAAGTGTCAGTATCAGGCAGCAGCTAAGAATCCTACATGATGTTTTTTATCAAAATGTATTAAGATTAATCGCATGAAACAAACTGTAAGGAAAGTAGCCCCTACAATTACATGGAGTCCGTGGAATCCTGTAGCAATAAAGAAAGTTGAACCATATACACTATCTGCGATAGAGAATGATGTCTCTATATATTCCCCGTATTGTAGAAACACAAAATAAAATCCTAGGGCTAGGGTTAATCCTAATCCTTGCATAGCATTTTTGTGATCACCTTCTTCAATTCTATGATGGGCTCAAGTAATTCTAACACCTGATAAAAGTAATACTGAGGTATTAAGAAGCGGAACTTGGAATGTCTCCAAAGTGGCAATTCCAACAGGAGGTCATGTAGATCCAATCTCTACTGATGGAGCTAACCTTCTATGAAAATATGCTCAAAAAAAGGCGAAAAAGAAACAAACTTCTGAGACAATAAATAGGAAAACTCCTACTTTTAGTCCTTTAACTACATATGAACTGTGAAGTCCTTGTAGTGTAGATTCTCGAGTAACATCTCGTCATCAAAGGAAAGAAATAATAGCTACAGCTACTAACCCAAGTAAGAGAAGAGTTATTCTTCCCCCTCGAATGTAGTAAACTAATCCTACTGGTATACATAAGATTCCAAAAGAATTAAGTAATGGTCAAGGTCTGTATTCGACCAAGTGAAAAGGATGAAGTTGCATAAAAGGAAATTATGAGTGGGAGAAGACTGAGAGTTTTCTCTTAGAAAGAAAAGCAACCGCCGGTAGAACGGATATCATTGATGTTGATAATTATGGAACAAATCCGTTGCTTTAGTGTCGTCTGCAAATGTATTGTTTTTTTTCGTTATGGCCTTCGGCCCTATTGTAAGTTTATCCTCTTCCAATTGATTTTTGGTTTGAGCTGGAATTGAAATCAGTTTTTTAGGGTTAGTTCCTTTATTGTTCTTAGGTTCTAAATATATATCTTTAAATAAAGAAGCCGGCCTGAAATACTTCTGTATCCAAGCTTTGGGAAGAGCTTTATTGTTTATAAGGGGGGTGGTAATATATTTTGATGTAGTTGATAGATTAGTTTTTAGGGTACTATTTCTGTTTAGATTAAGAATTAAATTAGGCCTTTTTCCAGGTCATTTTTGGGTTCCTTCAATTGTGGCTGGATTAGAATGAATTCCTTGCGTTCTTATATTAACATGGCAGAAAATTCCCCCTTTTGCCCTTACTGTGAGTCTAGTCAGTTCTAGTAATTATTTGTTGCAAGAGCTTGTTCTCCTGCTAGGAGGAATAAGGGCCTTAGTTGGAGGTTTAATTGGTAATAATCAAACTTCTCTTCGTCCTATGATTGGTGCTTCCTCAGTTGCCCACACTGGATGAGCTTCCGTAGGAGCCGTATGTGGAAGTTTGTGGTTGTATTTTATTTTATATTGTCTGGTTTTGGTTTTTACAGCATCTTTTTTGTGAGAGGGAAATAACCTATTATCTTCTATAAGTATTCTTTCTTTGAGAGGTTTACCTCCTTTCGTTATATTTAGAGGTAAGTGAATAATTATCAAGTCCAGGTTATGTTGTGCAATTAGAATTAAATTTCTTATTTTACCGATCCTTGGAACTTTCATTAGCTTGATCTTCTACTTAAAATTCTTGTATTCTTTTTATTTAAATTCGGAAAAAGTTTCTTTTAAAAGGAATATTTCTTGAATCCTGCCTTTAGCTTTTTTGAACTTGGCTGGGGTTGGTTATATTGTCTTTCTCTAAGTTTTTCTCTAAG